AAAAGCTGGGGAAGGGGCTGAGACAATTGCAGAAACCTTAGGAGAAATTCTCTCCCTTTCTGTTATCAACCTCCCATTGTTCCCATGCAAAGTGTATGGTCGTTTTTTTCCAGGAAGGAAAACAGGAACCTTCCTGTTTGATCAGCTACATGTAAGAAGCACAGCTGTGTGTCTTGCAGAATTAGTGAGTGTTGAGCTCATTTACCTGGTGAAGGGAATGAATAACTTTCAGAGGAAGGAGAAACACAAGAGGATGGAGTCTTAATACAGGCAAAATAGCAAAGCCATGATAAAACCCAGAAACTAATTGATTTAGATTTGCTTTAAACTACTTTCATTGTATTTGATCTGCTCTGTGGGATGGGGTAAGACTAGGTGGTATCTGGAGTTGTGGGATTCTTTTTGCTTTTTAAGAATGCAAATGTTTGTATGTGGAAGGTTTTGTTTTCCATACATGTGCTGGTTTTCATAGTATGACTCCATGGGATCATTGGTCTCACTGTGGATGAAGAAAAGGGTGTGTATTTGCTTCATGTAAAATAGAAGCATCATCTCCTGGTGATGCACCATCTTCTGTTATGCACCAACTTTCTGGTGCTTTAGAGATATTGTGGATCTGCTTTTTATGCTCTGAGCAGATGGCGAGCCTGCGCCCAGATCAACTGCCTTTGATGCCTGATGTGTCTAGGATACATGACACTTGCCACAGGCTTGGATTGCATGTGTGTACATTGATGATTTGTCTGGGGTTTTGGACATCCAGAAGTCCCAGGCAAGTGCTCAGCCCTGTGCTCTGTTACCAGGGAGAGGAGATGGAGGCAAAACTTCTTCCTGCTTTGTCCTTTCAGTAAATTTGTCTGATTATTGCTATACAAAATCCTATGGAAGGAGGGCATCCTTGAAGTTGGGGATCAGCTAGTCTGCAGGAGGAGCTCTTTTAACATAAGCTTCACTGGTATCTGCAAAGATAGCTTCACAGATCTGTGGATCATTGACAGCTTTGGAAAAGTTCCTGCACTTTTAGTTTGGCAAGACATGGCAACAAAATGACTACAAGCTAGAGCTCACACGCTGAGATTCCCTTGATACCCTTGATGCAGAGTTTTTTCCCCTCCTGAAGTATTCTGTGTTGTCATAAATAGGTGATATACAAACACCTGTCTATGTCTGCATGCAGTAATCACTGCTATTGGTTCTTTTTCAGGGTATGAGCATTATAGAGCAGCTAGATCCTGTATCTTTTAGCAATTACTTGAAGAAATACCATAATACAATATGTGGAAGACATCCTATTGGTGTATTATTAAACGTAAGTAACTTTGAAAAATGTAACTTCTAGCAAAATGCTTACATTTTTTAAACACATAGCTGTAGTATTCCTTAGTTCTAAAATGGCAAGTCTTGAATTAATTTATTTTTCCATGTGCTCTCAGTTTGGTCTTCAGTTTCCATGCCTTGCATATAGACAAATGTAGACTCTTAAAGGGCTGAGCGTTTTCAGTTCCTTAAGGGAGATGAGGTACCGTGTTCCTTTTGAATTTCAATGAAATACAATCATTCACTTTCTCTTGGCCCTAAGTATACAAGCAGATAAATCCATCTTCCTGAAGAAGTACATACTTACTCTTTTGAATCAGTACTTACAAGCGTATATATTTTTTTTCTGTATTGCTGTGAGCTAGCTATTGTGAGTGCCTTGTGATGCCTGGCAGTGTTGTTTGAGTTTCGCAAATATGATGAGAGATTGCCTCTGTAAGTATTAGTGCAGTGCACCCTCAACTCTTAAATCAGTGGCAATTAGAATCTAGATTAACTGGTACTATCTAGTTACCATATTCTGCTTTGGTCATGCAGTGCAGGCATAAACCTGGCTTAAGTTAGTTGTCTAAATTGGGTCACAGCTGCTTTACAGCACTGCTGGAGTGCTGCAGATTTGTCATACTGCTTGAGTGAATCTCACTGTATTTTTACTGTAATTCAAATCTGAAACAGGAGGCATGTTAGCCCTTTGAAAAGGGAAAACAATTCAGGGGAAATGTAGTCTATATTGAGAACCTATATAGAGGAACCTTGTAAAGTGGAGTCTATAAAAGTTTGTATGAGCAGTGTCAATAGTGGAGATACATGTAGAAAAAGTCAGTCCTATGACAACTTTGCAAAACTATGCAACTCTTAAACTCAGATAATGATTAGTTTTGCAGTGAATCCAAGCTAAATTTTGTTCATTCACTTTTGCCTGTTGCCACACTTCAATGAATTATCTTGGTATGTTCTTTTTCCTTAATGGAAAAAATACAATCTAAAAAGTGTTAATAGTGTTGGGGTTTTTTCCTGTTACCTCCGTATTTCTGTATAAATTCCCTGTGGAACTGAAAGCATTGTTTCTAAAGGATCTATTTTGAAAGGTTGTTTATTACTGCTTTATAGAACTGAATGGATGTACATGGTGCAGTGGGGGGAGTGTCAGTGAATGAAACGGCATAGAAGTTGGTTAGGTCCACAAATTACTTGGAGGTGCTTATATTATTATGAAAGATGGTGCAAGGATGCCCGGAGGGAGGGGAGAGGACTGAAATGTAGAAAATGTGATACTGTTTTTAAACAGGTTTTTTTTTTCCTCTCTTCAGGCTATCAACGAGCTCCAGAAGAATGGAATGAATATGAGCTTTTCATTTTTGAATTATGCTCAGTCAAGCCAGTGTCGAAACTGGCAAGACAGCTCAGTGAGTTACGCAGCTGGAGCACTTATGGTCCACTGAACCGCGGAATGCTCAGGGATGGCACCTGCACACACTCTGTATATGGGGTCCCAGCCTAGCCCTTAACAAAGATACAGTCCCTGGTCTTTGGGTATACTGAAACCTCAAACTAATAGAACTCTCTTCTTTTCTAGTAGGTGTAGTCCTTCCTTAGTTTCAACTCATTTAAAAATGCTTTCTTGTTTAGGACAATGGAAGGAAGGCTGGTATTGAAACACTTTGATTTTTATTTTTATTTTTTATTTTTGGAAAAGAGAATGGCTATGAAGGCATGGTGGCAGACAGTCCTTACAAATACAACATGTAAAGCATTTACCATATCTTAAATTTGCACTCTTTGCAGACCTGTGCACATGTACTCAGCTTTCAGAATAGTTTTGCAAGTTGTAAACGGAAAAAGGGGTGGAAGCTTTTTAATAAAAGAAAAAAAGGAAAACAACGCATTTATAAATGATCCTGTATTAGAATATAATAAAACTCCAGTATAGTCAGTTACTACCCGTGATGTACAACAGATATCTTCTATTTTAGTTGCTAATAAAGGGCTACACAAACCAAAATAGTCTGATTTAAACTTATTGCTTTGTGTTCTGTATGTAGCTGCTTGTCATTAACATCCTTTATCCTCAGTTCTTATGCTTGAGAATTCAGCCATTCTGTAAAATACTTTAGAATGTATTTTATATTCAACCTTTGTTATGACTACTTCATTTATAGATTTTTTAAATCTTAAACCTGCACTATGAGTTCAGCTGTGCAAAAGAATTTTTAAAACCTTTTGTATATTCTAATTCTTTTTTTTTTACAATTACCTATAAAATACTATCTTTTAATATGTGATACAAATTTGTATCAGAAATACACTTTTAATTATTTTTATGCTCAGTTTGATTATTAAAGTGAAATAGATGCAGTATTTTTATTTGAAATGACTTAAAATTGGAAACAAACAGTAGCTGGAAAATGGTCATTCTTAGAGTATCTATCAAGCATTCATAGGCCACAGAAGCCGTATGGTGCTAAGCTCAAGCAATTATTCCTCAAACATTTAATTGGGAGGGGAAGGTAAGACTTCTCTTTATTTTTATTTTTTATTCTTTCACTGTGGGTAGAATTGTTTCATGTTCTTTAAACCATCACATTTTAAGAGTTCTTGAACTTTCTTCCAGCCAAAATAATGGTGTAATTATTTGAGTTATCATTCCTGAAGACTTCCTTTTGTTCTAGTAAGAAATGCAAAGTAGGATGGCAGTACTGGCTCATTATCTAAATGGAGATTTAATTCCCTGATATTTCGCCTGCTGTCAAGCAACTTCCTGGTACATTCAGCTTTTCTGAGTGGCAGAGGGGAATTCCACAGTTCAATTCAGATTATCTTCGAAGTTGTGGGAATTGCTGCGTGCAAAGTCTTCACCTGAAAGCATACCAGACATCTTGTTTATTTCTATTAAGATACCCTTATTTAAACAGGCACTGCTTGCACCACTTCTATTTTCTATCACAGCTGGCCACCATTTTAATAATAACAGGTGAATGCTCCATTTACAAAATGAACTACTTTGCAGATGTTCAGAATCCATCCCAAATACCAAACTCCTTTGCATGTCCGTTCTTTGAGTTGCCTTATTGCTCTGCCTTGTTCTTGAAAAGTCTCAGCAGCAGACAGGGAAAACAACTTTCAGGTTACTTTTGACAGACCAACAGGAAGGCTGTGCAGGTAAAACTGTTTTGGTAGCCAGTCTTTATAAATAGTTGTCTGACTGTGCCTTATTAAAAAAGTGGTTTGATCACAAAGATTAATTTTATTTTTTTTTTAATCTTTGGTGAATACTAGTTTAATTAGGACTCAGATTTCTTTCAGTCTTATGCCAAATCCTTAACATCATTACTGAAACACATAGTTAATTGGAACAGTTAAGTACATACTTTCTCCCCAAGGTAAACATAGTAATTAGCTTCTGCATACAAATGCTTAAGTTGCATCTTAGTTCTGTAAGGTAGTTTTATTAAAAACAAAACATAACTGGAAGAGCTTCAAGGAAATTGGTCAGCCATTTTGCTCAGCACAATGTTATGAAATACCGTACAGTGAAAGCACTTCACATGTAAACTGTGTAATGTATTTCAAAATAAAGTTTCTAATTAAAAATGGGAATTTCTGTGCCTACTAATAATAACCAGCAATGACAGTTCAGAAGCCCACTCAGAAATTTAAAGCTCTGAAATCTGCTCTAACTTAGAAGGATTTGTTGTAAAAACCCTGTTTGTTTGAAAGCAGAAAAAAACCTGACTTCAAATAACTTTTTTTTTTTTTTTCTCTTTTGGTGTGGTTGGAGGGAGTTGATTCAGTGTTCAGTTTCCTGGTGTCAGTTTAAAATGTGTCAGAAGGAAAAGCAAATAATCTCCTGAAAAGATCTTAACTCAGAGCTATAGTTTAATTATTTTAGCTTTACCACACATTTTATTCTTACTCAAATATACACTGGAATACAGCATTTTGTGATGAAGAGTGTCCGGTTTACAATATTGAATAATCACAATCCCATTCACTTTTGTGGAGGTTTCTTATATGCGTAGGGTGACTGAGCTTTGACTGCTCTTCTGGTGCAATAAATCCAGCCAGGGACGTGATTCTGATTTTAAAATTTTGGCGTTTTAGAGAAATGTTCAATATATGAAAATGTTGATTAAAATATTCCTTTTGCTGTTCTTGTGTTGTTCACAAAAGAGCTTTATGGATTTTTTTTTTTTAATACTATCTCTAAAAAGTACTTTTAAACTACTGTCTACTGAATTCTTAATTCTTCAGCTTAATGTTTTGACATTGAAATGGAGCAGTTGGTCTTCCACTGGTGCGGGCTGAGATCAGCAGAAGCAGGAGAAAGCTTATGCAGACATAAGCAGCATCCCGTGCTGGGTGGTGAATGCCTCAGCACCGGGTGCTCTCAGCGTGGCCCCCGTTAGATATAACTACTTCAGCTCTCAGCCTTCCATGGTTCATAATGATTGTTTGGCTTTATTTGGTTGGTTGTTTTAAAAATCATGACTTGAGTGGCTTTGATCCAATGTTATTATTTGAACTGAACTCCTACTGCAGTGCAGTCTCCTTTCTTGGAGCCTTCAGAAATGCAGAGTTTGCGTGGGCATTTTTAGACCCAGCTCTTGCTGTTTCCCAGTCAGGGGCTTATTGCTGTGTCCTGGGGGTTGTGGATAGGACTGCAGGCTTCACTTGGGAATTGGGAAGTGACATCTCAAGCACTGAAATGGGGGGTTTCCATTTGAGGCCTGCACACAAAGTCTCCTGGTACTATGGCGTGTCATTTCAGGGGTTGGTGCAGGGTTTTCCATTTCACGTTTGTCCTTTTCCCCTTATTCCCTCAGGGAAAATGCTCTCCTCTGCATCAAAGGAAGCTTTGCTTTCAAATGACATCAGTCAGCATGATTTGCAGTTGTTATTTCCTCAGGCTGAGTTGAGTGTGCTAACTAGCATCTGATCCATTCTCAAAAATTGCCCAAACTATTATGTTCATGGAGAAATGTTTAAAGTCCCTTGTTTGGTGACCTTTTGCTTTCCTGTTTCTGTGAGAAACTTTCTGAAGCGAAGCCTTTGAGCTAGCCTATGAAATGATCTTCAGTGTGAAGAGAAACTGACTTTCAGGATCCAGTTTAGTGCACCCCAAAGATGCGAGATGTTTTGGTTTGGGGCCCACAGTGCAGCCAGATGGCCTTTTCAACAGATGGTTTCAAAACATGATTTGGAATTGGTCTGTAGGGGTGAACTGACTTTATTCTTTCAGTCATGCAAAAATCTATTGCCTCTATTCTAATTGTCTCTAGAGCTTTTTTTTTATTATTTCAGGGTTGTTGTTTTTTTTTTTCTTATTTGATTTTGCCTAATTCTGAAAACAATTTGTCCATGTGTACTGCAGACAACTTCCAGATGCCTGGTGTCATTTGGGGGTTATCTTATTCCAGCATTAGCTGAAAACTCAGCATTAGCTTTTTCCTGTTTTGTCTAGTACCTATTTAGTATGTGCGTTCCCCAGTGCCAGGGCCTGAGACATCTCTCCCATTGCTTATACCCTGCAAATGAAAATGCCATGGTAGTGATATATCTAAATTAAGAAGGAGATTATGTCAGTTTGTTTCCTTAGGTTTTTTGGTTTTGCTTGGTTGGGGTGGGTCGAGGGGGTTTGGTAGAGGCTTGGATCTTTTTGGAAAAAGCAGAGAGATTAGGAGAATGGCCATGGATGGGGAAGAAAATGTTTGCTTTTCCAATTTGATGTCAGCAGCTGTTCTGTTACCCTGTTTGGGAGCTGACATGCTGCCAAATACTGCCCAGTGCAGCTGGGGCTGGGTGCTGTGGTGGGCAGCCTGTTACTGCTACTTCAAAGAGAAGAAATGTTGAAGATACTATGTCAGTGTAGCTCAATTTGTTGAAGCTCAAAGGTGAGAATCCTATGCTGATATCTTTAAGTTATAGGTAAATAAAAGTGTCTTGGCCTTTATGGAAAGGTGACAGGTAGACCCCCACACCCCCAGGTTTCTCAGGCAACATGTTTGGTGCTTGGTGGATTTGAGAGAAGTAAATAATTATCCCAGCCCTGTGATCTCCATTGACATTAATGTAAATATGTATTCCCTACAAACAGTTTTATGTACCTTTTTCAAAGTTTATGAAACCAAAGTTATTCAATTACTGTTTTCAAACAAACATATATCCTAATTTGAGCAGTTGTATTTAAATCCCATTAAAGAATTATCCAAGGCTTTTATGGTTGGACTTGATCTTAAAGGTCTTTTCCAACCAAAATGATTGTGTGATTCTAAATCCACTGTGAGTGAAGCCATTAATGAAACGTTAGAGTTCAGTAATACAGTAGCTGCTCTGTATATGACAAAGACCTAAATATCAAGAAGAATAAAACATTGTGTTAAGCATTAAACTATGAACTCTCTGAACCTAAACTCAGAGTTTGTTCTTTCTCTAGTGAATTTTGCAACAGTGAGAAATTACTTTCCTGAGCCTGTGACTGCAGCTTCACAAGACTGAAAACAGCAGTGCTCTTGGCTGAAGTCCCTTTCTAGGTAAAAGGTGTTTATTACATTTTTTCTGCTGAAATCTTGCAGCCCAAAGTGGAATATTAGCATCTTGGTGCCTGGGCTGCAGAGGCAGAAGCTTGACTGAGCTGCTGGGCTGTGTGGGCGGGTAGGGACAGGCGTCCCCTGGGATGTGCCGGCTGATACGTAAATACTTTTCTTTCCATTTGTCTCCAGGAATTGTTATAAAGATTTGAAGAGTGAGCCTTTAAGCCTGGCTGTGATGAATCAGTGTTGAGTTCATGCATATTTTTTATTATAAAAATCTGTCTTCCTTTATGATCACAGTCCAAAGAGCTGGTGTTACAAATAACCTGTCACCAAGATGTCTGCTCTAACTGTGTTGACTGGCATCACAACTACTTTCTGGGAGAAATCACACTTTCTGCATTTTAAGAAATGGTTTTCCGTTTGCAGGGCTGAGATGTAATCAAATACTGCTTTTAAGCTGCTCTGCAAT